ACGCTTCTTTTGATGCAGCCCAGGATAAATTACTTTTAATCCAGGCCAAGCCTCCTTTGCTGGACAAGCAATTTTGTTGATGCTCCTGGCCTCCAGGTAGGAAAACTTTAGGATTTCAGAAAAGCAAGAGTCTGCTTTTCTCCCTCATTCCTACTTGGCAGGCCACTCTGCTGGTCTCTCCTGGGCTTTTCGATCCAGATGATTCATACCTGTCTCCTCCTCTTTAATTTTAGCCTCCACATGGAGCTTATTCTCATATCCACTTCTCTTGAGCTGGAATAACTTGGTCTTTACCATTTCAGAAATGCAGCCATAGTTGTCTGTCTGTTGGAGGAAAACAAACAAGACCATTATAGTCTCATTTGTATAATGTTTATCCAACTTCATGAATCCATCACTGTGCGTTGCTCTGAACTGGAAGAGAAGCCCATAAACTCACAGATCATTCCCTCTGTTGTTTTTATCAAAACTGGAAAAGCACATAAATAACTTGGCAAGGAGCATTTTGAAGTACTTGCAGCAACATCAGAGCAAAGAGTTTGCAACCTAGAAGATTTTTGTGTATGTGTGTGTGAAGTTTGAAATTCCAAACACTTGATACAGAAGCACAGGGAATTATTCAAGTGTATGCCACAGAGGAGTTGTTTGCCAGGCATCAGGCACATTAGAATATAGCTGCTGACTTAAAATGCAGAAGCCGCATGAGCGATACATAAACCAAAGCCTGTGTATGTGCAGAAAGAAGATGACAGCTGGAAAAGTATTTCCAAAGCTTGCCACCTCTCTTTAGCATCTTCAAGGCAGGTCTCCACAGAAAAGGGAAGAGATGGCTGGAACAGAGGTTAGCACCACAGTGTTCGTATTTTCTTTTAGCATGGGTAACAACAGCAATGGCAGAGGCAATTGTGGGTATCGTACTATAGCGGACGCCAAGGACCGTAAGCATGCCTTCTGCTTGCTTTCTTGTCCTGGCATATTTCCACAATTGCTGCTACTCCAGCTTCTGTCAATTAAGCTAGCACTGTTGCACCTGTCCATGCTCCAAACATCATTCAGTTTTGCTCTTGTAGACTTGCCCATCTGAAGAGTGAAAAAAGTGATTTTTTTTTTTCTGTCTGTCTTAACCGCTGCTGCTAAATCCATATTCCTTTCCTTCTTGCACAAACTGCATCACCCCTCCCCTGGTTTCTGCTCCTTTCCTGCTTCTAACACCAACTTCTGATCCAACACACTGTCTCTAGCGTAAACCAACTCCAACTCTGCTCTCATCGCTCATGCCTTTTCTATCTCACTCCTCTCTTATATTCTCTACACGCCATCTGACCTTTTTTTTTGTTTCTTTCATCTCTTCCTCCTCCATCAGCTTCTTGCCTTTACACACATCTTTCTCACTGCACAGACCTTCCCATTGTTTTTACCTTTCACTTTTCACCTTGCATCCAATCTTCTCTCCTTCTTCAGGCTTCCTTAAAATATATGGAGTCTCTCCCCTCTTCACACTCATGCTTGTACATACTCCGTCAGAGGAAGCCTGTGCCTACAAGGCATGCTCAATAAATCACACTTTCTCCTATCACTTTACCTACAAGAGTAATCATGGCTCACCTGTCCAGAGAACTCGTCGCACACTGCCTTAGCCTCTTCACCATAGCAGGCGGTGTCTGCGTGTTCAAACTTCCGGCAGACACGGAAGCTCACGAGGCCAGGAACAGGCTTCCCAAATGTGTATCTACCAGCAGGGAGGATTGAAAGAAAAACACAGCCTTTAGGAATGTAAGAGGGATGGAGAAAAATGACTAGCTCACCCCTAGTGGAGCCAGGACTCTTCCCTAGAGGTGCCTCCAGGATACAGCAGGGTCATCACAGGAAATAAAAAGCAGAAAGAAATTTGGTAACATTTTAGGATCAAGCTCGGCAATGGGGGCAGGAGCACTGAATCTTATTGCATCCCTAGGAATAACACACAAGTCTGCAGAAATCATTTACCCTAATGCCGATTTAGTTGAGACTACCCCTCACCTTGGAGAACATGTTGCAAGTATCTACCCCACCGCACAATTTTGATGGAACTGGTTTGTCTATGTATGTGCTCTGGGTCTTTTGGCTTGTTCTTCAGCCTGAGTCGTAGCTCTTCCTGCAGGATGCGTGGAACATGCCATGCAGAATCAAATGAGGTGGCCCAAAGGAAAGAGGGCAGCTGCATCACTTATGGTTTCCTCTCAGCGATGACAAGCAGAAGCCACAGTTAAAACATAATTCCCAGGTAAACTAAACTGAAGACCTCTTCCCTAGCACTGCAGCTGGTCTTAAATCTTCTATGGCTCAAAAAATATGCAAAAAAAACCCTCCCAAAAAACAGAACAACAATATGTTTCTACATGTTATGTACAAAGTGCCCCAAGCAATATTTGTTGCCTTTTGTCTAATGGTACATGTAGTCTGTTTGGTCCTGGGACCCCAAAAGGATTGAGAAATATAATGAAGTATCATATCTCAGTCTCCCAACTGGACTTTCAGCAGCAGCTGAAGAAAAACCTGAAACCAAGAAGGACTTGAAAGAATGACACTCACAGACCACAAACTGTCACCTTCAGCTTCTCATCAAGAATGGTGATCACCTTGGGCATTTTCACTGTTACTTCGAATTTTGGCAGCACTGCAGCAGAACCAAAGGAAAACAGTCTATGTGGTGGGGAATAACATAAGAATGAGACATGAAGGCTGCTCAAAGGCTGTTCTTACAAATGTCCTGAAAGCCTTTTGCATCTAAATGGTCAAATTTTAGAGGCTTCTGTTTACCTGCACATCCCACTGAGGTCAATGAAAACCACAGGCACTCAGCCAACCACTGTGCCAGGTAGGACGACAGGATTATTATACCAGCTATTAAAATACAGCAGCTTGTTAGATAACACATGGGTTATCAGTCCTACAGCAGTAGGATACAGTAAAATAGAGTGCTAAGTCAATAGAGGTCTCCCACAAACATACAGAGCTGGGACTGCAGCCTGGTCTCTGCATTTCCAAAGCACGTAGGTCTTTCCAATTCGCAAAATACGAAGACCCCATAGCTTCCCTGGTGACTTAGCACAGGGTGACATCACATCCAAACCCAGCTGCAGGAGGCAAAATGGATGGTGACTGTCTTGGGAGAACTAGGAGGGATTCAGGGCACAGGAACAGTCTTGCAATTGAAAGAGGTCAAAGGACTTCCAGACTCATCTTCCAGAACTCATCTCTGCTGCATGAGCCAGATCACATCAGACCATGTAACAAGGGCTGCAGCTGGCTTGCTGGGGTGGAAAGCTATGTTGGTTGCAATCATGCATGGGTGTGTATTGGGGTACCATTTTCTAGCCAAGCAGATGGAACTGGCATAGGGGTGAGAGTACCAGAGAGAGGTTAAGGCACTAAGACGTAATGTGAGCTACGGGCTTAGCTTGTGGGGGAGGACAGGCAAGATCTGAATTTACAGACAGCCCCAGCTTACACCAAAAGGTCAGGACTTTGGGCCTCAGGCAGGGGAGACCCAGACTCATAGCATGACACTTGACAGGTGTGTAGCCATCTGGAGATGAGGCTGTGGCCTTAAGTCACCTCTGAAAGGAGGTGACACTTGTAGTTGCCAGCACAGACTGATCCAAGCACACTTGCTCCTCCTGATGGGAGCCTTGCTGAGGTGGGGAGTCAGAAGAGCTGCACTGCATGGCCTGGGGTTTAGGGAGGAGTGGAGAAAGGTTGCTCAAGTCCTTCAGTCTTCACTCCTCAGAAAGGGATGATGCTTGGGAGGGAGAGGACACACAGACATTTTTCCAGCCATGCTGGACATCCTGGTCAGGTCTACCATCCTGTTCAATTAAGCTTTCATGCCCCATGGGACTAGTTGTTAGGAACTTGAAACCGCAGTGACAGTTACCATACTCCTCCACAGAGAAAGGATGCCGAATTGTTGTCCCAGAGACCTTCTGTGCCACCACTGTGTAGGTCCCTTGCATAGGTTCAGAGGTGAGGTTGAAGAACAGCTGGATTAACCCTCCCTTTAACTCTGCCTTTGCCCACTGGTACAGACGGTTTTTCTTTGGGTCCTACAGATAATGAGACCACAACGACATTGTGAGAACAGTGGGAGTCTGCAATGAGAACGAAAAAGCACCAGCAAAAGCAGTGAGGGGAGGCCCAGCCCCAGTGTTTCAGGAGGCTGCAGGGTAGGAGTGGGGGGCACTAACAGAGTTGTGTGGGGAGTCCAGGGCTGCACAACAGAAGGAGCTGTAACCTGGGCCTAGACTACATGGTTGCCACCATATGAGTTAAAGCTCTGTATATTCAAATTAATATTATGGACCTGCTTAATAAATAAGAATGACAAGAATCATCTTGAGGCAACTGGTAGTTATGCTGCCCAGGTTGAGGTGTGATAGATGTGAACATGAATTGAATGTTTGTACATACCTCAATATAGACCAGCGGAAACTAGAAAGAGAAGAAAGGAAACAGCATATTTAGAACGCACATTTAGACAGAGTGCAAGCAACACAGTCAAATGACCAGGGCTATGACCATGTTTCAGGGAACAAGCTGATCACCCAATGGGATAAGGAAGTCCCTGGTATGGAACAACAGAGCATTCTGAGGTACATCAAGATGGGGGGGCAATCCTTTGTCTCAGGCAGAAAAGTCAGCTGAAATTACTAACTCTGTATGGTCTGCAGTACTAAGAGCAGGTGTACACTGTGATCATGCAGATTTGCTTGCTGCTGGGGTGTTTACACCAGCACCGTTCATTTGAAGTTTGTCAAACCTTTCCAAGAAAGCAGAAAGCAGCCCTATGCAGAAATCTGAAGAACAGATCCTGTTAACAAGATCTGAGGTAACCCAGGAATTGCACAACTATCTCTATGTACTGAGAGCTATCCCCAAAAGACACTTCTTTCCTTCCTTTCCCCATATAGACAACTTAAGGCCAAATAACTACTGAAAAGGAAGTATCATACTTACCACCTCGTTCAAGGGACGGAAGTCTTTATCCAGAGAAACAATTCTGAACAGGACTGATGGAGAAAGGCAGACAGTGAGATTCCACAGTGCAGTCACCAACCAGAAAACATCAGTTGCAAAAACAAGTGGTACAACAGAGAACAGAGATGTTCTCTTCTGAAGAAATTCCATTCACTAGAAAGCTAAGGCATGCTAGAAGGTTACCCATGTAACAAATTACATGAATAAGAGGATGTTAAGAGCAAATCCGCAGCAGTGTGAACATCTTCCTGATCATGGGCATCAGGGCCTCATTAATCAGGACCAAAGTTAAATTTAAGTTGCCTTTGTCTACTTTGCAAGGATACATTTTTACATTGGAATTCACATGGGTCTTCTAATTTTGTTATAACTAGAGTGACTTCTTAGGAAGGATGAATGCAAGCAAATTACTTCAGCACTTGGCTGCAAGTTTGTGTTGGCTCTGGATGGATAAAGAATTCAGTGTCCCTTTTAGGAAATTAGTTCCTGTCCAGGCCAAATTTAGGAGATCAATGGCCCAGAAGAAATAAATGGCTTATATAGTTCTCTCTGTCTTCATTGAGCAAAATCAGCTGCTGCTTTGAAAGCTATTTCATGACTTATTCTGAATTTTGGCCCTGTTCTCTATAGGACAAATATCCAGTCTTTCTCTGATTTTAATGCGGACCCTAACTGCATGGACCACAACAACAGAGCCCACAGTGAAAGAGGGAGTGTGTGCAGGTGCCCCAGTTGCATGCATGTATCTTAAGGTTCCCCACATTGTTCCCATATGAAGCATTAAAAACATAAGCCTCAGCCACGAGACTGCTGTTCTGACCCCCGGTCGACAACTGGCCAGCACAGTCCAACAGTTTTAGTACATATTTTTGCTTCAAATGCAAGTCTCCACCCCTTCCCTGGTACCTGTCTGTCCGGGCTTGTAGATGGGTTTGTCTGTTGACTCCCCCCATGAAGAAGTCTGAAAACTTTAATAAAAGTATGGGGCCTCTGAGGAATGAAGCCTGTAAGATTTTCTGCTGTCAAAGTCAACACCAACCCAATTCCCCGTACCTGTCTGTCCGGGCTTGTAGATGGGTTTGTCTGTCTGGACGAAGACCAAGCTCTCAGAATTCTTGACCAGCACCGACTTGCGGCTCCTGAACTGCAGTGTCGCCCCCTTCACCATCACAGTGAGAAATGTCACTGATGTGTTATTGGATTTTGGAAGCTAAGGAAAATGAAGAGGATAACTGCTTTACTGATTCACCCCATTGCACTAAGCCTTTGAAAGACGGAGTATTAGTTAGGTCCGAAAGTTCCCTAAGGGGACACCAAAAACTCAGTGCTGGAAGCAAGAGAAAAACATGATTTTCTGATATGAACTTGGAGGGCTTGTCTCCTCTGTCTCAAGAAAATCTTCTTTTTCCTTCAGGAATTGTTGCAATGATAGATCTTCTCCATTTCCTTGAGTTTTCTCCATGCTGCTTCTTCCTCTGCTTCCAATACTGGAAGCCTTTTCCCTTCCTTCATTTATACACTTTCCTGAGAGAAATATTGAATCTGATCTTGTCCCATCCTATGATTTATCAAAATGGAAATCAACCCAGATTGATTATTTAGGGGGTGGGACTAGTTACTTATGTTACTCACCAACCAGCCTTCTGCAGGAAACAATCATGAATAAACTCTAGAAGGAGCCAAATGACCTCATGGACCCCATTGTCTTTGACCATTCCCCAGCTTCTACAGTTCTCCTTCCACTTTGCTATTTTTCCTCTGAGGCTTACACAGATCAAACAAACATGGGGTATGTTCTCAGCCAAAGTTCTAGGATGAAGGATCCCAAAAGAGTTCTCTAAGCCCTGCATGCAGAGAAATATCATGTGGGACACAGAATTTGATAATGGTGGGAAATTATTCCTCATAAGGCTACTACAGTCAATTTTCCACATCAAATTCATTTTTTGTTTGGCTTAGCTTAATGTGTCTTATTTCTCATTTCTGGACTGTTTATATCTACTACGCCACATCAATAAACACAGGGGATCATCCCACAAGGATGAGATACTCACAGAGAAAGGGATGCAGGTGAACACGTCCTTCTCCGACACCACGTCATCAATCAAGCTCCTGTTTTCCCCTTGATACTCGAGTGTGGCACTCAGTGTCACAGACTCATTCAGGTGGGTCAGCTGAACACAGACTTTCTCAGGAGAATCAGTGTGTATCAGAAAGGGCAGTAGCACCATATACTGCCTAGGAAGAGAGGGAAGCAAGAATCAGAAGGATCAGAAATGTGAACCAGTTTTAAAGCAACAGTATTAAGTGAAAGGAAATTAACAAATCAGCATGCCTCATCCATTACTACCCCTGTGAATTGCAGTGCATATACACATGAGCATTCATTTTATTTTGGGTTTATACATATTAAACTGCCTAACTAATTAGCCTAAAAGCAGGAAAATGCTTGCAGTGGAAGGAACAATTTCTATGCTAATAGAGAGTCCTTTACAAAAGATGTTTTGTTCTGCTTCACCACAGGGAGTAAAGACGGTGTGAAAGGTTCCAGGCTGTTAATTGATTTTTGTATATCCCACAATCTCCTATTGAGACTCAAAGGCATTAGCTAAAAAAGGCTGAAAATTCAGCAATTTTAGGGTTGAAAAAACCACCCACTTGTCTGTCCACTCCTGTCTTTGCCTATCCAGGTTTCCAAATCTTTCTCATGCTGAGCAAAAATGTGAGTGCTTGCAGTTTGGGACCTTATTAAGATGAGCACACAAAGGATTTCAGAGAGTAGTGGTTTATTGCAACACAAGTGTACTTGCATCTTCAAAGAGCTTTTGACAAAGGTCCCTCACAAAAGACCCTTAAACTAAGCTGCGACACAATAAAAGGGATCATTTTACTAATTTTTTACTAATAAATAAAATTATTACTTCTGACATGGATTAATTGGTTAAAAGATAGGACACAAAGGGTAGGAACCAGTGAAAATCTCCTGAGTCTGTGTTGGGACCCCTGTTGTTCAGTACAATTCTAAATGATCTGGGAAGTACGATTTTCTAATTGTCCAGGGTAAGAAAATACCTAAAACTGACTTGCATATTTGTGGAAAACTTCTGTCATATGGTGGGACTGTGTAGCAAAAATGGCAAATGACATGTTCATAAAGATCATATTGTTCATAAATCAATAGAGGAAGAAAAAATTACCCCAACAGTATATATGCTATCGTGTATATGCTGTGTCACGAAGTGGACTATTACCACTCAGACATGAGCGCTGTTGATCACTCTTGGAAAATTCTCATTCAGTGATAAGTAACAAATGGATTGTAGGGAAGTGTTCAGAAAGGAATAGAGGACAAATCAGAACACAACATTTTGCAATTGTATAATTGCAAGGTACTTCCACATCTCACATACGGCATGCTGGTTTGCTCCCATTTAAAAAATGGATTTAGCAGAAAAGATTCAGTGAAAAATGGCAGAGGTGATCTGAAATGTGGAATGATTTCTGTAGGAGAAGACACCACATAGATTAGGACTCTTCAGCCTGGAAAAAGGCATGACAGAAAACTATAAAGACATGACGTGCATGAAAGAAAGTATGGTTTGTTCATCACCTGTGATGACGCATGTACTAAACGATACCAGGTGAACACATTAAGCAGCTGTCTCAGAAAAAATAGAAGGAAGCAGAAACTTTGTCACTAATGTACAAAATTAAACTGAGGAACTTAATGCTACCAGATGCTGTAAAGTCCAAATGTTCAGTTCTGGTATGGCCATCTTGTGGCTCTTGAGCCTTCTGGTGCTCTCAAGCGGTCCAAGAAGGGCACATACACCCAGGCTGCATCAGGTGATAGACAGCAGCCGACTGTCCTTCCCTGGGTGAGGAACAAAAGGAGCCAGCAGGTGCCACTGAGTTGGATAATTAGGGCCTTACCTGCATGTCCAGCCAAGTGCAGGCCCTTAAAAGAAGCTGTCACCCCCCACCTGCCAGTAACTCTCCGAGGCATATAGTATCTGCCCTATGGCACCAGCTACATAAAATTTGGTATGAGGCTTATAAGGGCAAGAAGATCAGCTGCTCCTGATATGAAGGTTATAAAAAATGTCCTGGGTAAATTCATTGCCCAGAAATGGCTAGAAAACAGAGCGGCACAGGCGTAATCCCTGCCACAATAAGACCTTGAACCTCTGATAGAAGCTCCATACGGCTATAGCAGATGGGAAACTCATTTCCACAGTACTTGCCTTGCTCCTCTATTCTGTCCCTCAGCACCTACAAAACTGGCCACCAACACAGACAGAATACAGAGCTAATGTAGTCCCCTGGTCTGATGCTGGACCATTTTTATGGACCTCGTATTCCTTTTTCCCTGTGCACGTTCAAGCTATCCAGATGCAGCAGCAGCAGGTTCTGGTGGCAATTCAGTCTGCAGGGTATATTAACCACTGTATGCATAGCAGGAAACCTGTGGTCAGGACTGCTCATAGCACTTTTCTATGGGCCCTCCACTGGAGAAGGCTAATGTGCACCTTGCCAGATGGTGCCAGCCCTGGGGAGAGAGATAGCTGGGCCTCTCCAGAGCTACATTATTGCCTGGGCTCTGAGCTTTTGAGAAGTCCTAAAGCTACTGTGGAGGCAGTGGGACCCAGGCAGTACTTCCATTTCCCTCACCACCAGACAACGGGATAAAGTGTGGTGAGGAGCCAGCTGGCAACTCTGGCCAGTGCGTGTTGCTGCAGAAGCAGTGAAAGGAGGGAGCTCCAGCCACCCAGGGAGTGACTTACAGCTTGTGACTATCTGCTTGCTCCAGCGCTCCCCTTCCTCCACAGCCTTCTCACCACAGCTTCACACCGTGCCTGCTTTCCCTAATCTCATTTCCCCTGCCCCCTGTCAGTGGCACTGGCAATCTGACTGTAACGTCCAGTCTGCTGAAGGGACAGTGTGACCTAGTTCATGGGGAATTTGGCCTCATTCCTCTTCCTGTTCACTGTTCTGCTGAAATTTTGGCCAACACGCAGAACTTCCCTCTACACTGGCTTCCCTGCCTTTGAAACAAGGATATGAAATACGCTGTTTATAGACCTCCCTTTAGCTGTTTTGTGATGTGTTGGTGAAAAGAGCTAGATGAATTAAAGTACTATGAGGGCTTTAAATAACTTGGGTCACAAAGTCCATGTATAGACATTCCAGGACAAAAAGCATCTGAGCTGCCAAAAGAGACCTCAGCAGCCTCCTTGCATGCAACAAACTGTTCTGGAAACAGAGGCAGCTACTCTGGCAGAAGGAGGCAACAAGGAGGCATAGGAGACCCTAGAGAAAGTGTCTGAGGAAAAAATGATGAGTTTGTATATATACAGAAGGTAATATTCTAGCTTAAGATGGACTAACGTCTGTGTATTGACTCTCAGCTACTTCCTGGAACAAACACCCAACCAAAGAAGCCAGTGAATTTCATCAGCTCCATCAGTCCAAATCCACAGCTGCCAATTCATGTGCCATCATGACCTTGCATTTCTGACTACATGCGGTATATTCCCAAGGATGTGCACTGCATTGTAAAGTAGCTGGCATGCATGACCACATATCAGAATAGGAGAATGATACCTCCTGTTGAATTTTTCCAGAACAGACCCAGAGCAAGAAAAAAAAATCTTGCTGTCAGTATCTTACAGATTCATAAAATTTCTGGTTGCAAGGGATCTCTGGATGTCTCAAGCCCAGCTTCTCTCCTGGAACAGGACTGTTGCAAAGGACTCCACAGATGGAGTTTACACCATCTCTCTGGGTCACCTCTTCCAGTGCTGCACTAACTCAGTGAATGAGTTTTTTTCTAAAATATAGTCTGAACCTTAATTTTGTCTCCCGTGCAGCCGGCCACATCTGAAACAGAAATAGCAGCAACTGCTGCTGCTCAAAGAAGCTATCTCCCTACTTGTGCCAGGCACAGGAAGCAAGCCTTGGTTGGAAGCTTCATTTTGTCTTCAGTTCAAGGGTGGCTTCCCTTCTGTGTTATGCACAGCATCTGATCTACCCTGCAGCACTTAAACCAGAACCACTACCCTCGCACCTACCTAGCAATTCACTGCTCAGACTCCACTGCCTCCCTGCTCCCCAACTGTTTACTGGGTTTCTACCTTCATTCTGTGGATCCCAACTACAGCCCTCTCTCCCCGACCTCTATCAGTCCTTCCTCCTTCTCCCCTCCCAAAATGGTGCTCAGGTCAGGGATAAAGAGAAGCATGTTGCTCGCAGGAGGGGAGGACTGAGCAGTACGGATTAATTCCCTTTCCTCCTGATCTTGGGCAGGGATGAATTAAGATTACTTAATCTTAATTACTTAATTACATCAGATTACTGTAGGAGACCAGAGACTTCAGCCTGACTCCAAAGCAGACTTGGCTGGCTGATCAGTCCCAGAAGCACCCAAACAGGGCAGATGAATGGGAGGTTGATGGTACAGTGTGAGTGAAAGGTCTTTCAGTTTGAGCCAGTCACCAGTTCACCTCTGATCACACAGTAAGCGGCAGCAATAGCACTGTACTTTCTGATACAGCTGCTAGCACTACTACAGTGCTTGTGGGCATGAAATCTCTGTAGCAAGCATTACGAGACACACGGTGGTGAGAACTGCAGTTCTGCCAGCACAGCAAGAGGCTCAGCGTGTGACAGCAGCCAGGGTCTGAAGAGGGAGGCTGCTCCCGTCCAGACTAGAGGCTCCGGAGCAATCCTCTCTGGTAGGCGAGGCTGGAGTGGGGATGCCAGCCTCCAGTCTGCCCGTGCCATCTCGGGCTGCCCTGCTCCTCGGGGCCCTCAGCAGAGTGGGCGCTGCAGCCATGCTGCTGGTCTGCAGAGCCCTGGGGTGGATGCCCCAGGGGACAGTGCCACTGCCAGGCTCCGCGCCGAAGGAAGAGAATCTAGGTCACAGATCCTCTTTGGGAACAAGTACATCTGATGCTGCCAAGGGAAACAAACCAGCTTGAAAGCAACAGGAGAACGGGGAGAAATAACTCGCTGATTGAAACAAGGATACTACAGGAAAGGTAAGTACATGGATTCTGGTATCATGCCCACAAAACCCCAGGCACCTGAAGGCTGCAGGAATACACTTAGGCAAAGATGTTGTGGGGTTCCAGGGCTGGACTAGAGGCAGCTGCAGGGCAGGACTGTGGGCACTGGCAGAGCTGGGGGGGGTCCCAGGGCTGGACAACCAGGGGATTGCAGGGTGGGAGTGGGGAGCACTGGCAGAGCTGTGCAGGAAGCTCAGGGCTTGGCTAGTAGTGCAGGGCAGGAGTGGAAGAAACTGGCACAGCTGTTTGGCAGAAAGGAAGAAAACTGAAGGAAAAAAGGAGCACTAAGACCTCCCTCCCCCCTCCACATGTGTAGCTTACGGTTCTGTGGTGGGAGAGGTATTTCCAGGAAGGAAGAAGAGGAGAAGGAGGAAGATGTTTGGTTTGCTGGGCAGCCTGTCCTTCCCCATGGTGCAGAGCAGGTTGCGGTGAGTCAAGCAGACACCCAGTCTGGTCCGGTGCTGCTGTTTTCCCGCACCTTGTAATTCCCCTCCACTCTCTGCTGGGTCAGCCTCTTTATAACTGCTCTCTGTAAACATCCCAGGGGCTGGAGGAGATAAGGGCTGGGGGCCAGGACCCATCCGGAAACAGGGAGAGGCGGTAAGGAGGAGCTGGAACAGAGGGACAGTATTTGGCCAGAGACTTTCCAAGTGGGGGAAGGGTATTTATTGGGTAGTGCTTATATTAGAAATCTTTGAATGATTCATACCCTGCTTTCTTTAACCCATCAGTAATCCACAGTATTGGGGAAATGAACTGTGTTCAACACAGGGTAATATTCCCTGTGGGCAGCATCCAATCACAGCACTCTGATGTGGGGTGCTGTGATCTTTTAAAGCCAAAAGCCAGGTTTATAGGTATTTTAAGAACAAAAGGAAACCCACAGACAGAAACAGCGCCCATATTATGTTAACAGAATACTGCAGTAGTTTGCTGACACAGTTGCTAACATAGCAACTATGGGTTAGACAATTAATCTGCCAGGAATATAACCCAAAGTGAGGTGGGTTACTGGTCTAGATATGGAAATAAGTTCTGTTTCCACTGTGAATATGCACAAATATTACACAATGCCGTAGAGAGACATCCTTGCCTGCCCAGCATGGTGATCACCTTCCATCATTCGGTGTCACCTGTAGTGCAGATGTTCCAGGTGTTCCAGATAGCCCCTCCTTCCCTTTGCCAGATTCAGATCTGTGCTGCTGTGAGTCACGTTTGTAACAAAAGTCACTCAGAAATAGTGCTGCCCACTTGACTCAGTCTTCTGCAAACCTCTGGTTGTAGCAGCTTATCCAGAAGTTTAACCTAGTAAAAAAAAAAGTTTGCTAAATTACAGCAGGTCATTGAAATATTCAGTCCAAACCACGAGTACTCCCTGAGAAGCCTAAGTAGGCGAGGTGTTTGCACCAGTCCATGGAAAACTGCAAAATTGGAGCTGTAGGGCTGTCAGCATGCCCTCCAGTGCCTGTGCAGTGAAAGGATTTGGTAACACTCTTTATAGAGATTTGTGACCCCTGTGAAGATTTCTGTTGTGTATGGATAACCCAGCAGAGAAAATGCTTCAGCACAAACCACCTTGAATGTGTCTATATGAAGCCACATTAATGGCAGAGGTTCTCTGTTCTGTGCAAGAGAGCTTATTAGATCACAACAGCATGGGCAGCCCTATTTGCTCTTTGCTTGAAGATTAAGCTTTGAAAAAGAGTGAATGTTAAGACTGAATGTTAGCTATACAGTGTGTCTTGACTCTGATGTAGTAGCCAGAAAACTGCAGGGAAGAGCAGTGCAAAGGACCAGGAGAAATATATGGGGATGAAAGGAAGTTTAAGAATGGCGTTGGACAATCAGGCTGTCTCTCATGGAATAAAATTTAACACCTTTTATAAACCTCAAAAATTAGGAAAACAGTCAGGAGGCAGCCAGTGTCTGCTGGGGGGAAGTGTTATATAAATGTAATATGGAGAAGGAATGAACACATTACTCACACAAGCCAAAAGATTTAACAGATTATCAGTTAGAGATGGAAATACTGATAAAAAAGTGGTTGTGTAACTACCAAGTAATAAAAACCATACAGATCTTTCTCCAGAAATGCCCCCTATCATCTGTCCTCTCACTCCCATCTTCAACTTCTCCAATAAATAACTCGTGCAAAATAGCAGTTTGCAAAGCAATAGCATCCTGGGCATTTGCTGGAAAACATGACTCATCCCAAGTTGCCTGCTGTCATTCAGGCTGCTGTAAACTGAAACCAAAAAGAAATCCGAATGGACGCATGCAAAGTACGCTTTAAGGATGAGCATGTAAAACTAAAATTCATAGATCTACAGGGCCATCAAAACCAGTGATTCAATGGAGATCCTATTCACTATTGTCTTTTTCGTTCTACTAACCAGTTTACCATCCACAAGGTATAAAATACCTGCTTCTCAGTCCCCCAGGAACCACTTACCAGCTCTCTGACACCCTAATGCCCACTTTGCTCCACAAGCACTAACCATGCTTTAGCTCAGGCAGTTGGTGCTTCAGCTGGTTCCTCTCTCACAACGCTCGGAACAAGTGGTCTGAACTTGTACTTAGCTTGAAAGCTGTTGGGTGCTTTTTCAGACCCGAAGGAGAGATTGTGTCTCTGAAAGACTGGCTACTTCTTCCAACAAGGCTATCTGGTCTATTAAAATATATCACTGCTGAAAAAGGCATGCAACATCTTTGCCATACGTGGTGATGGCTTCAGTGAACTGTCAGTCATGATTTTAACCACAAGAAAGATATTTCCTCTTATGATAATACTTCATAAGTGTCTGAGGTCACTGCGCACCTGGCAGATCAAGAGACAATCGTACATATCTAATATCTTCAGTGACTAGTCCCCATATTAAGCTAGTACAAAACCTAGGTCAATCATTGTACCTAACTGTTGATCACAAAGAATTTAAATTAGGCCACATCACAGTAAATGGTTGATATAGCCAAAATGCCTAAATCTAATTTCTTATAATCCTCCAAGCAGAATGGATTTCTATACTAAATGATAGCAATTAATTTTGGTTCATCCTGCTTGAAAATGAATGATTACATACATTTACTCTCACTTTTAAAGGTAGCACATCTTTTGGCTGTTCCGTAGAAGGTTTTTGAAACTTATTTATTTCCAATGCTAGATTAAAACTATAGCATTATTCTAAGATTTTATTTTGTTCCAAAGAACACTTGGGAAAATTAGCTTAACTCTAGATAATTCTCAGATAATTACAGTGATATACTGGTAAGTTACATGTGCTGATGCATTGGCTTTCCTTTCCAGGTATTATCGTATTGAAATGGAGCAAGACACCAGGTCAGTAAGAAACGGATGCCATAGGAGCACTTCTACTTTGCCTGAATGTATCATTATGACTGTTTTTTTATTTTCTGGAGCATTTCATTCTCCACAATATTTCCTTCAGACGTTCCTTTCCACCAGCACTTTAAAATATATTATTTTGAGTTGGACTGACTGATACAAAAGATGCAATTAATAAGTTAATACAGGCCATCATAAATATTGATAAATTCCAGTCACAGCAAACCTTATTCTGCAAAGTTTCCTATAAGCCATACAGACTTCACTGCACTGCCTAGCAAAGATGACAGAAGTGTCCTACACCTCCAAGTTTATGACCACTATAGAAAACATATTTCCCCATGAAAACAAAGTAAGATATTGAGCTGTGCAATTTTAATCACCTTAACTCAATTCTGGTATGTTTTCCTCTGACTTCTTTTCAATTTCTGTTCTTCAGCTTTGTAGGCGACTACCAATTATCCAATAACAGAGTGTCTCAGCAGTTACTGCAATTGCAGGAAGAAAAGGTGTCTGTGGGTGGGTGTAAATACCCTTAGTACTATCACAACACTATTGTGTGCAGGAATCCTTGTCTGCCCCAGCAGTATTAAGCAATTTTGGAACACTGTCACCAAAGGTAAATAATCCCAAGAAAGACACCTGCTTCTTTACTATGTGCCTGTTCTGCCTCCTCAAGGACTGTAGCACAATGCTCAGCCCTCAAAGCCAAACCAAAGCAATAAACTGAACTTCAACCTTTGGCTTTCAAGAAGAGGCAAGTTTTGAAACAAAAAGCTGAGGAAACAGTTCTTGGTAACACTAGTATCATGCCTAAGGTGGTCCATGCACTTTCACATAAGAACCCCTGGTGGAAACCAGTAGCTCTAGCAAAGGAATATCTCTCTTCAGTACCTACATCAGCTTTGCATGGGGACAGGTGAGAAAACAGTCACTGCATAACCTGAGGCTTAAATTAACAGCTCCGGTTAACAAAATTGTGTTAGCTGTTCAGCTAAAGGCAGAAAAAATCCTTTAGGAGAAAAAAGAATTCAATATTTCTATTTTAAAGGAAATCCAAATAATGGTATTAGTTTCCCGGCCTATGTATCTACAGCAAAGAAACCCAAAGCAATTTATTTCAAATGACAAAAAAGCATTACAAGAAAAAGTATTTGTATAAATTAATAGGAGTAACAGCAATATCCAGAGAGATAAAAAAGGGTTTATTATTGTGTGGGAGACAAAATATTTCACTGGCCGTAATGAAGAGAAGGTCCTCTATCAGAAAACCTCAGACAATACGAACATTATACAAGCTGCAACATGCAGATAAAGGAAGATATGCAATGAAATGAAACACCATAAAAAGGCTTTATCAGCTAAACTTCAAATTAAACTGAAAATATCAGAGCAAATAAAGATTATCCACTTTAGTGGCCTGTTGAATATCTTAACCTGAGAGAAGGGCCTGGTGGCAGATTAACTGCCTTTCCCAGGCGCGGACAGCTGGGCTGCCAAATATAACTCATATTTCTGTGGTGTCATATGAACAAATGAGTAAATTCAGGCATGCCAAAGGCATCAATGAATTACTTTCATTTTAATGCACTTTGTAGATTAAATTGCAAACCACATCGGTAGCTGGGTTTTATAAATTGTCCTGTGACTATATTTTGCATGATGTAAGGCTAGCCCATTTGTAGGGTAAGCCCTATAAAAAGTAGGGTTTATCCACCTTTCCCAGCTATATTATAACAAACATCACCTCTGTGTATAAATTTTGTCTTGCCTTAAAAGAAACCTATACTGTATGTATAGGCTGCAACCAAGGTTGTTAACCCTCCGGCATGAGAAATCAGCAGTGTGTCTGTCTGATACTCATACTGCACAGTACTCACAGAGTAGGATCCGTTGTTGAAATCCCACTATTAAATCCATTAAAGGTAATTAGTGAATGATGTCTAATAATTTTAAAATATATAAACAAGAAACTAGCTGCTTGCATGTTCACATATATTTTGGATATTACAGAGAAATGAAGATAATCTCTGATGTAGTAAAGAATGAAAAGCAATTTTCATTTATACATTTGTATTAGTCAGACTATTGCCAAGAAAGGGAAGAGAAAAAGTGAAAGCATTTACAAATGTGTCTGAAATCAGCACTTGGGACAATTAACTATACTCTT